CTCCAACTCACAGAGATCCACCTGCCTCTGCCTCCCAAGGGCTGGGATTAAAGGCGTGGGCCACCAACGCCCGGCTCAGATAAAGTTCTCTCTCTTTCTCTTTCTCTCTCTCTCTCTCTCTCTCTCTCTCTCTCTCTCTCTCTCTCTCTCATATACACAACATGGATGCTGGGGGAGAAATGTTCAAGTACCACCCCCATTGAGAAAAAATTGTAGAAATGGTGGTCTTTTTGTAAACCTAGTGTCACTTCACATAGAAGAGCAGGTGTCAAATCTAGCAGAACAAATGGTTCAAACATAAGTTAATTTTGGGGGACTGGTAAGATGGATCAGTGGGTTAAAGTGCTTGCCATGAAAGCCTAAGGACCTGGTTCCGTCTCCAGAACCTACATACAGGCAGAAGAAGAGAACTAACTTAATTAACAGAGTTGCTTCTGACATACATACATACATACATATGTGCATACATTTTTTTCTTTTTGAGACAGGGTTTCTTGATAGCTTTGGAGCCTGTCCTGGAACTAGCTCTTGTAGACCAGCCTGGTCTCAAATTTACAGAGATTTACCTGCCTCTGCCTCTGCCTTCCAAGTGCCAGGATTAAAGGCATTTGCCACCATGGCCTGGTTATGTACACACATTCTAATTATGGTTTTAAGTCATTGATCTCTGGGTATGTCTTGGATAGATTTGTATTCCTCTGCCACTCCTCTAAGTCTTCTGGGATAGTTTTATATTTTGCCTTAAAAACCAACCAACCAATCAACCAACCAAGGGAGCTGAAGAAATGGTTCAGCAGTTAAGGTCACCTGTTGCTGTTTCACAGAATCTGGTTTGATTCCCAGCATCCAGATGGTGGCTCACAATGGTTTGTGATTCCAATCCCAGGGACTCAGATGCCCTCTCTGGCTTCCAATGACACAAGACATGCAAGTTCTGCACAGGCATACATGCAGGAAGAACACTCAGACACGTAAAATAAAAATAAAGGTTAAAAAAAAAGCACAGACTTGTTGGTATGTAGCTCACATGCTTATTCATCTATTAAATATACAGTTATAAAATCATCATTAAAACCAATTTTAGAATATTTTCATCACCCCAAACAAAAATCCCACACCCATTCCTACCTTCCCACTGGCTCTGGAAACCCTAATTTACTGTCTTTACTTACACCTTTGTCTATTCTGGGCATTTCATACAAAGTAAATCGGGTGTGCCCCTTTGTGACTAACTCTTTTTTTGGGTTTGTTTGGTTTTTTTTGTTTTTTTTTGTTTTTCGAGACAGGGTTTCTCTGTGGCTTTGGAGGCTGTCCTGGAACTTGTTCTTGTAGACCAGGCTGGTCTCCAACTCACAGAGATCCGCCTGCCTCTGCCTCCCGAGTGCTGGGATTAAAGGCATGCGCCACCACCGCCCGGCTGTGACTAACTCTTTTCACTGAGCATGTTTTCAGTGAACCATCTGTTGTTTGTTTGTTTGTTGTGTCTCTTTTGAATCTTAGGTGATAGGCTTTGCTTTTCCACAGTGTATATTTGCTATCCTTCTTCAAAGATAGAACCCCTTAAATTGTTATCTTGTTTGAATTGACCTTAAGTTGTAAATCTGATCCTGCTTATTTCAGTTGGCTAGGTATATAGAAATGATAGACTGGGGCCTGGGGATGCAGCTCAGTTGGTAGAATGTTTGCCTAGCTTGGATGAAACCTTGGATTCATTCTCCATTATTGCAAAAACAGGGTATTGGTGGTGCATGCCTGTAGTCCTAGCACTAGGAAGGTGGAGGAAGGAGGGTGAGAAGTTCAAGGTTATCTTAGGAAATGTGACTCTAACCTGAGAAACATGAGACCCTGTCTGAAACAAAAAAGAGAGAGACTAAGACTCTGTGGAGAGCTGGCTGAAGGAACTACTACAGAAGTTCTGATTTTTTTGTTGTTGTTTTGTTTGTTTTTGTTTTTGATACAGGGCTTCTCTGTGTAACAGCCCTAACTGTCCTGGAACTTGCCCTGTAGACCAGGCTGGCCTCGAACTCACAAAGATCTGCCTGCCTCTGCATCCCAAGTGCTGGGATTAAAGGTGTGCGCCATCACTGCCCGGCTTAAGGTTCTGATCTCTAACTCTAACTCAGATCTCGTCTTAGCTCTAAAGCAGGTATTGGCAGTCATTTCCAATAATGGAACGAGAGTGAACATTTTAGACTATTCGGGCACTTGTGCAGGCACCTGTTCTCCACTATATCTTCTGAATCTCTGCCAAGTGTGCAAAAGTAGCCAAAGACAAACCTGTGTAGTTGCATTCTAATAGAACTGTGTTTACATAAAGATGTTGAAATGTTTTAGCTGTTTGCTGGAAGACCACTGGAGAGATTGATTGGACAATCTGGTTACCTGCAGGGCTGAGAGCAGGGTCACTGCTAATTATTATGAGTTTGCTGCCTTCTGAGTTTGCTACAGTCGCCATCTGCTCCCACTTGACTCATGGGTCGTAGATTGCCAATCCCTGACTTACGGTTCTTAGGTATCGAAGACATCTAAACTTACCCAGAATTGGACTCATGCCCTCCCCTACAAGCCTGGTTTCCCTCTTTCAGTGGCTTTTCTAAGTAGAAACTGAAAGTCATTCTTGATACCTTCCTTCCTTTTGGCATTCATTTCTTATGGGGGTTGTCTGTACATCTGGGTCATATTCTTTTCCTCCATTAGTACACCGGTCCAGTCTAGAAGTGGTTATCAAGTACTGATCTTTTCCAGAATGGGTACAGACAGAAGCATCCAGAGAGGTGTTGAAAATCCCACGAGGAAGGCGATGGGGAGCGAATGAGTGAGAGTGAACACGTTGTCCTTACACTAGTAATCATGGTGACCCTGCCTGCCTTCTTCCCTCTGAAGTTTTGCCGTGGTGGTGCTTGAATTTTGTGTGGGAAATGACCTTTCTAAATCAGGTGTAGTCATGGCATATGTGCTTGGGTAGTCTTGTGTGATGGGGACTTCAGAGGAAGAGCAAAGAACTTCAGGGAATTTGGGCTGGTATTTGAGCTGTGATGAAGGTGTGTGAATGTTGGGATATGGTGGAGAGCAACTCTGGCAGGGTAGTAGGAATGGGGAGATCCTTCCAGACAAAGATATATTCAAAGAAAAGCAGAGAGACATGAAAGGACCCAGTATCTTTTGGAAATGACTGGACAGTCCGGGCACAGTGAAAGGGATAGGATAGGTAGTTGGCAGGTGTCTGAGACAGACTATTCCTGTTTAGGTTTTAATCCACAGCTCAGCAGGGAATTAGTTCAGAATTTTTAGTATGTGTGGTGCCCACTTTAATAATAATTGTTAATGTTTGCTAAAAGTTTTGATCTTAAGCGCTCTACTAAGCATTCTTAGTGTACACTTAGTACACTTAGTGTGTATTTATTTGTTTGCTCACTCATTTATTGTGGTACTAGGGAGAGAACACAGGGCCTCACATGTTTCACCAGAGCTGTATCCAGGCCTGTATATGTTTAAAGTCTACTGGATGTTCACAGTGATCCTAGGAGGATTACCCTTTCCATTCGCCAATGGTGCAATTGAAGCCTGAGCAGGTTAGGGAACTGCGGCCAAGCTCTCACAGCCAGAAGTCAGATGGGCTAGAGCTTGGTGCAGTTATGGCTAAGTTCAAATCTATCCCTTTAAGCTCTATATTGAACTTATGTTTTAGGCTAAAAACATAGGGTGAGGAACCTGTGTAATTTGTGGGTTCATTCTATCTTTCTGGTTTTAGATCTGAATCTCCAGTGCTGAATAGGATTTTTCTTCATGTTGATGTGTCAGGAGTAATTGAGGGCTTGAGAATGAAGGCGTTTTTTCTAGCACAGGAATAAACATTTACGAAGGCACACAAGAAATGGCAAGTTTAGCATGGCAGTCGGAGAGGATGCTATTCGAGGAACCAGATGGCCATCACCTGTGAGGTGGGACAGACTCTTATTAAAGGCCTTATTAGTGAGCTCTGTCCTGGTCTCCTCCTTTCCGGAGGAATGTGACCTGACTAGATTGTCCAGAGATGGGTGAGAAAATGATTCAAAGCTGTCAGAGGTAAGGTACTGGGACAATGACTCAGATGTGCCAGCCGCAGGAAAGGTCGAGAGTCTGTAGGAGAAAGAGGAGGTGATATCAGCAGGTCTGGGGTGTTTGCTTGAGGTAGGTAGGCTTTCTGGGTGTTGTATGGGTTGTAACTCATTTAATCCTCACAGTGACCTAGAGGTAAGCCCCATTATCTGCCAGGATGAGCAAACTGAAGCAGTAAGGTAACTGGTTGAGCTGCTCAGAGCCAGCAATAGGGCTGGGGTTTGAACTCAAATCTGGCTTAGTCATCTTTGTGTTCAATCATTACCCCATCCTGCCTGTGCCAGAAGGACCACTGGATTTTGGGGCAGGGTGTGGATTTGCTCTTTTCTGAAATCTTGTTATGCACTTTGCCCTTAGCTACCAGAAGAATCTTAGATGAGTGAGGTAGAGAAGGAAGCAGGAAAACTGAAGGATAGCGTTTTAATTTCCTAGAACAATGCTCTCCAGTGGGAGATGTCTTTTTATTTACTGCTTTCCCAATAGCATGTGGTTGGAAGAAAATGCCAGGTTTGTTCGTTCTCTCCCCCCTCCCTCTCCCTCTCCCTCTCCCTCTCCCTCTCTCTCTCTTTCCCTCTCTCTCTCTCTCTCTCTCTCTTCCCTCTCCCCCTCTCCCTCTCCTTCCCCCTCTCCTCCCTCCCTCCCTCCCTTGCTTCCTTGCTTCCTTCATTTCTTGTGGAAAGATGGAGTATCAAAGTTGGAATGAGTGGTTTTAGAAAGACCACACTCTGTAGGATTAAAAAAAAATGGTATCTTACTTTTACATTGTAGAACACATTTAATTATTTTTTCCTATCCATAATTTACTTTCACTCTTTTCTTCTCTCCTCTTTTCTTTTCTTTTCCTTTCTTTCTTTCTTTCTTTCTTTCTTTCATTCATTCTTTCTTTTTTTGGTGCTAGATATAGAAGATGCTGAGTATAGAACCTAGGGCCTTCCAAGTTAAGGCAGGTGCTCTTCCATTGAACTACACCTCCAGTCAGTCCTCCATAATTTACTTTTAATAGATCTATGATTCACTAGCTAGCTTTGAGAGGAAGCCTAGCTGGGTGTGGTGGTATATGCCTGTAATCCTAGGTCTTGAAGGTTGAGTCAGGAGGACTGTGAATTTAGGCCAGACTTGGCTACTACATAGCAAAGCCCTGTCACAAGAAGGAGGAAGAGGAGAGGAAGGAGAAGAGGAGGAGGAGGAGGAGGAGGAGGAGGAGGAGGAGGAGGAGGTGTTAGAGAGAAGGACCAGCAGTTTAGAGCACTTACTGTTCCGGAGATACAAGTGTTCCCAGTAGCCACATGTCTCACAAACACTTGTATCTCCAGCTCTAGGGGATAATGCCTCTTGCCTCCATTGGCATCAGCACCCCTGTGGATGTGCCCATATACATATATACAAATAATGAAATAGAATAAAAATGTTTCTTAAAAAAGAAGAGCTGGGGGAGGGCCAGACTAGATATAACACTTCAGGACAGTTTAAAATATAAATTTCCTATTTGTATTTTCTATCTTCATTTTGCTATTGGTTGAATAGCTAGTAGTTTCATCATGCTGTGATGATAGTGTGTTTGGTTGAGTCTCTCTCTCTCTCTCTCTCTCTCTCTCTCTCTCTCTCTTGAGACAGGGTTTCTCTGTGTCTGTGGCGGTTAGATCTTATAGACCAGGGTGGTCTCGAACTCACAGAGATCCACCTGTCTCTGCCTCACGAGTGCTGGGATTAAAGGCATGGGCCACCGCTGCTTGAGTCTCTTAGGCCTTATAAAAGCTGCTGTATTTCTGGAGCATGTGGGGGTGTGTGTGGGTGTTGGGGAGGGCACAGGATGAGAAGTGGGCATTGTTGTATTTTAGTTACTATGGGCAACCCTTCCTTGTTTGTATTTAATTTAACTGCCAGCCTGTGTTTGGAAAAATGCTAGTGTGATTAGATTTTTAATTTTTACTCAACTATTTACTATGATTTAAGACTATAAAATGATACAAATGTTATTAAAGATTAATGGATCTTAACTCCTTGCTTCTCATAGATTTTGTCTGAAAATACATTGGTGGCTCTGGCATTTTGGGGAGATCCCTAAAAATGATGCAAAGCATCTATAGTGTTCACGCACTTTTGCATAATCCAACAGAACATATGCATTGTAAGTGTTTGGGCTTGCTTCCATTAGGTGTGCATACCGTCCTTTCTTTGGAGATAAGTGCAGATGCCCATGTCCGAGGATATGTTGGAGAAAAGATCAAGCTGAAATGTACCTTCAAGTCGTCTTCAGATGTCACTGACAAACTGACCATAGACTGGACATATCGCCCCCCCAGCAGCAGTCGCACAGAATCTGTAAGTGTGGACTATCTAGAAAGTTTCTTTGAGTGCCTGGCATGGTGGCACACACCTGCAATTTCAGCACTGGTGAGGTAGGAAGGTCAGGAATTCAAGGCCATCCTCAGCAACATAGCAGGCTTAAAGCCAGCTTGATCTACACTTAAAAAAAGAAAGAAAGCCGGTGTCCTTGTTCAGGGAATAAAGACTCCTGCTCTGCAATCCTGATGACTTGAGTTGGATTCCTGACTCCATGGGGGTAGGAGAGAGCTAACTCTCAAAAGTTGTCCTCTGATTTCTACACTTAAACCATAACACTAGTGTGCCTACATATACACCGCACGCAACACCCCGCACGCACACTACAGTTAAGTTTAGAAAATGAAATAAAAGTAAATAGGTCTTTGGAGTGAGCCAGGCTTCTGCCCTGTGATATTTGTTTAATCACACACTGCCTCTTACTCTGCCATGTAAGACTCTTACACATTATCTCCAAGGAAAAAAATGGTCAGAAACCAAGAGGAAATGTGGTTTAATTTGGTTGCCTTGTTGTTTCCTTCTGTGTAGTGTTACAGCTTCATTTTAAATCTGATATACTAAAAAAGGGCATTTCCAGGACGTGGGCTGGAGAAGTTCCCCACTCACGTCACTGACATCCTTTCTCTGAAAGCTGCTCCCACCCTGCTGTCTCCGTGGGTGTGTCTGTCTGAGACTCCCACACTCTAGATTTATCTTGGCTTCTCCTCTGGCGGTGTAAACGTCTGCAGTGATTTATGTAGTTGCCTTTGAAGGAACTGGTGGCACCTTGTACTGGTGACAGATGTCATCGGTGACAGATGGTCATGCAATATTAGAAGCAATATACTTTAGTCACACATATAAAACACATTTATGGTTCAAGTCCCATTATGGATGTTTAATTAGAGATTACAATGCTGTAAAAACCCTTTCTCTTTACAGTTCCATCAGTTGCCTTGGTTCAGGATGGGCGCTATTTAAGGATCTATTTGAATGTTGGGGCTGGAGAGATAGCTCAGCAGTTAAGAGTACTGACTGCTCTTCCAGAGGATCTGGGTTCAATTTCCAGCACCCAAATGCTGGCCCACAACCTCCTGTAATTCCAAGGGAATCAGATGCCCTGTTCTGACCTTCCTGGGCACTAGGCATGCACTACTAAGGCACAGACATACATGCAGGAAAAACACCCATGCATTTAAAATAAAGTAATCTTAAAAATGTGAGTGTCAGCTGGGCATTGGTGGCACATGCCTTTAATCCCAGCACTCGGGAGGCAGAGGCAGGCAGATCTCTGTGAGTTCGAGGCCAGCCTGGTCTCTAGAGCAAGTGCCAGGATAGGCTCCAAAGCTACACAGAGAAACCCTGTCTCAAAAAAAAAAATGTGAGTGTCATAGCCATATGTAAATTGGATTTATTTTCTTTAATTTTACTTATTGATTTATTTGTGTATGCATGCTACTTTGAGTATATGAAGGTCAGAGGACAACTTGCAGAATCCAGTTCTTTGCTTCCACTACTTGGATCGTGGCAATGAACTCAGGCCTCCAGCTCAGTGGCAAGGTGCCTTTACTCAGTGAGCCACCTCACTGTCCCTAGAGTGGATTTTAGAAAGTGTTCTTTATTCTGTTTTCCTCCTTTGGAAGAAAAATTGCCTTTCATCTTAGTGAATACATTTTGAATTGTGCGTTAGGAGCTGTTGCCGAGTGCCATGGTGTGGAGGGGGTCAGGTCACTGTGGTGAAGGGAGACAAGGCTGGAGTCAAGGTTCCTGTTGCTTTAGATTTAAAATAGTTCACTTTATTCTGACTTGTCAGGAGGCCATGGCTGACCTTATTTGGCTCTGCCTCCTTGTCCAAAAGTGGGACAGAGTGAGCAGTAGGGAGCTTCTTGGGTCAGAAACCTTATATGCAGACAGCGCTTCTCCTGGAGTACTGTTCTGTGAACCCAGTCAGACAGCACTGGAATCAATGGCATTTAAGAGTCTTGTAACTCAGGGTTTGGGGGGAAGTGGTTAATTTGTCAGGCTTACTAAGGAGTGGGGATTGTGGGGCACTAATTTAACATGTAATTTGTGAGTTAGACTAACCTGGAAGGTACACAGCAGGCCTTGTTTTGTCAGTGAGGAAGTTTTAAGCTTTTTATCCTGATGATCGATGGCTTTTGGAGACAGGTTTGTTGCTCTTTGCCCCAGTCTGTTCTTGAACTTAGTGTATATCCCAGGCTGGGCTCATATTCACAGCACTCCTCCTGCCTCAGGCTCCTGAGTACTGGGAGTGCCGGCACACACCATCATGTTGCCTTCTGTCTCCCCCTTTCGAACACTTGTCACAATCATGTTCGTTTTTTACTGTCTCTATTTACCGAAATGTAAGCTCCATGAGAACAGAGGCCATGCCTGTGTGGCACCCACTGCCTCCCATTTCTTCACACATCGGGAACATGGAGGGTGTGCTGAGTATCTGGGGAGTGAATTCTTGATGAAATTAACCAGTGAGTGAGTCAGCATCTTCTCTGAGGAATTGCTCTTCGAAATTGGGTAATTCGGTGGTTGGAAATGCCTGGTGTCCTAAGCGGGAAGGTACCAAGTAAACAAAGAAAGAGGGAAGCCTCCTGTCTTGCATAAGAGTCCTGTTGATTATCATACCTGCCTGTCACTCCTTCAGGCATAAATATGTGCTTTTGGTGACCAAGTGTTCAATCACCAAGTCCAAAGCAGTATCACCTTAATACAGCACATATTCACTGTGTGCTTATCAGGTATTTGACGTGGGCTTGTATTAACTGCCACTGGAGATAAACCGAGAGAGATTGGATTGTATTACACCTGCCCAGTGACTTGGAAGATGAAAATCTTCCTTTTGTCACCTGCTAATTGTGTGCCTTTGAGTAACTTGCTTCATGTTTGGATTTGGGTCTCTTTTCTCTTCCTGTTTTCAGAATAGTTACACCTGTGAAGTTCAGAATAGTTACATCTGTGAAGTTCAGAATAGTTACACCTGCCTCGTATGCTTTGGTGATGTTATAAGGGCCAAATGAGTAAACAGTGAAAGTCATTTGCAAACCATGATAAGCACAAACACTGGGTGTTACTCTAGAGTAGTTTCCCTACTTTGATGCTATGGACGTCAAGCCTGTGGGACTGTCTAATGCACTGTGGAAAGTTTAGCAGCGCCCTGGACTTCTACCCACTAAGTGCCTGAAGCACACACCCCCTAGTTGCAACAACCAAAGTTCACCAAGGAAACAAACAACCTGATTAAGCAACAGGCAGAAGATCTGAACAGACATTTCTCAAAAGAAGCAGTATCAGTGATCAGATATATGAAAAATCTCAGTGCCTGCAATTATAAAGGAAATAGAAATAAAACAGTAACGAGATATCACCTCACAGACTACCAAGAAAAGCTATTATGAAATAGGCTAATTATGGGGCTGAAAAGATGGCTCAGAGGTTAAGAGTATACACTGCTCCTGCTGAAGACCAGAATTTGGTTCCTAGCACCATTATTGGGGTGGCTGACAGTGGCCTGTAACTCCAGCTCCAGGGGATTTGATGCCATCTCTGGCCTCGGTGGGCACCTACACTCATGTGCACGCGCGCGCGCGCGCACACACACACACACACACACACACACACACACACACACACACGCATAATGAAAAACAATAAAAATAAATCTTAAAAAGACAAATTACAATAAGGTTCAGTACAGGTTGGAGAAAATTGAAATTTACTAATGTAAATAATACAGCTAATTTAGATGATGTTGTGGCAGTTCCTCAAAAAACAAAAATAGCTGCAAAATGTAGCTTAGTGGTAGAGCTTAGCATGCACAAGACCCAGGGTTCAAGTCACAACACCACACAAAAAAGCCACACTGTACTCCATAAATACACACAGTTATTATTTGCCAATTAGAAATAAATAAATACAATTTAAAACTTGGTGGGAAAAAAAGAATCTGTCCACATTGTCAAATGTTTTGTGATGATAATGTTGCCCCTGCTTGAGAGTCATTACCTGGGGGCTTTAGGAAAAATTTAGAAGAAAGTTCTTGTTTAGATCTCTCTCTCTCTGTGTGGGTCTCTGTGTGTATATGTGTACAGGTGTGTGTGTGTGTGTGTGTGTGTGTGTGTGTGTGTTAACATATGAAGGTGCCCTCAGAGGCCAGAAGTGTGGAATCCCCTGGAGTTGAAGTTACAGATTATTGTGAACTGCCTGATGTGGGTGCTGGGAACTGACCCCAGGTCCTCTGGACAGACATTGATCTTAGCTCCTGAGCCATCTCTCCAGCCGTAGAAAAGATCTAAAGGTTGAGATCCCAGATACTCTCTCATCAGTATTTTTTCTGATCAGTTTTACTAACCTGTCTTTCTAAGAGAGAGGTGAGAAAAGCATTAAAAACAAAACAAAACAAAACCAATTGGGGGGGAAATAAAACCCCTTTTTCACAATTCTTTTTAATTTTGGATCTACTCAGCTTTTCATTTCATTGCATTTTCCAAGTTAACCTTTTCTTTTGTGGCATTGTTTTTTTAGATTTTTCATTACCAGTCTTTCCAGTACCCAACTACAGCGGGCACCTTCAGAGACCGGATTTCCTGGGTTGGAAATGTGTACAAAGGGGATGCGTCCATTAGCATCAGCAATCCCACTCTAAAAGACAATGGGACATTCAGCTGTGCTGTGAAGAATCCTCCAGACGTGTACCACAATATCCCCCTGACAGAGCTCACAGTCACAGAAAGGGGTAAGCAGCTCACTGCCAAGCTCCTGCAGTGCTGTGACTTGTCTGGTGTTTTCAAGGACTTACCAGTTGCTTAGAGGATCACTATGTCGAAACTGTTGTCTTCACATGCATGTTAAGATTGAATTTTAAAACATTTATTTTTATTTATTTTGTATGTGTTGGCATGTGAGCACTCATGGTATATTATGTGTCTGGAGGTCACCAGACAGCTTGTGGGAACAGCCTTTGCTGGCTGAGCTATCTCAATTTTAATTTTGAAAACGGAATATTCTCTTCCAATGTTGTCATAGTTTCTGCATTGTCTTTTTCATTGTATCTACAGGTGACCAAATGTCTTGAGGAATGCTGAGCAGTCCCCCCAATTTAATGCTTACGTGTGATGTAGAGGTCACTGCAACTGTCCTTTTGGGTTCATGCTGCAGTTACGGGACTGTTTGTGTAAAGGGCGCTCCCTCTAAGAATGGGCAGCATTCCGTTTCTTTTACGCTACAAAGAGCAGCAGTTTCCTTCTCCTGTGGAGATGAGGTTATGAAAGACTTTTTCCAAAATATCACTGTGGTGACTATTATGTGTTATTTGAGCTTGAAACTGGATTTGAGTCAAAGACATGGAGACACATTATGAGTCATTATAATTGCCATTTCTTGGGGCCTCCCTCCCTCCTTTATTTCCTCTTGCCTGCCTGCCCTGCCTTTTTTACCCTCTCTCCTTCCCTGCTAACCTTTTTCCTTGTCATAATCATCATCTGGTTTGACAATAACCCATTGCAAGTTTAAATAATCATACTGCTGGCAGGAATAGATTTCATTTTTCTAGAAGGCAGTTCAGTAGTAGAAGTCATACTTGTTAAAATAATGTTCCCTTGAAAATATATTCCCTACAATTCTACTTTAAAATTTTATCTTAAGATACAGATCTAAACACTAGGACTTATATACAAGAATGGCCATTTTAATATGACTTGTAGAGTCAAAGAATTTGTAATAACGTGAATGTTCAAAGTTAGAGGATTGATTTGCTAATTGATTCAGTATGGTAGAGTACTCTATCATATTCAGAAGGCTTGTTTTTGTTGTTGTTTGTTGTTTTTTTGGGGGGGCAGAGCTTCACTATGTATCTCTGGCTGTCCTAGAATTTACTTTGTAAACTACCAGGCTGGCCTTGGACTCATGGAGATTACCTGCCTCTGCCTCCCAGTGCTGGATTGAAGGTGTGTGCCACCACCATGCCCGGCTTGAAAGACCTTTATAATCAGGACCTTTTTAGTCACATCAAAACATGTCTCATACATTAAGCTAAAATAATGTGAAAAAATAGGACTTCTGCTTTTACATGTGTCCTGCCTCATATGTGCTTTTAGACTCCTGGAAAGAAGAATGAACTGGTAGACAGCAATGTGTTACTCCTGGGTGATGGAATTATGTGGACATGTTTTGTGTCTTGTATTTTTTATATTTCCTGTGATACATTTATTCCTTTGGTAATTAGAAGCATGAGCAAAGGCAGGGATCAGAAGAGGCGTGGGCCTGACCTGAAGTCAAAGGCTGCAGGTGCACAACCCTCTCTTGGTTTTTCCTGCAGGTTTTGGCACCATGCTGTCCTCTGTGGCCCTTCTCTCCATCCTTGTCTTCATCCCCTCGGCTGTGGTGGTCATTCTGCTGCTGGTGAGAATGGGGAGGAAAGCAACGGGGGCTAAGAAGAGGAGCAGGTCTGGCTATAAGAAGTCTTCCATTGAAGTTTCTGATGAGTAAGTTTCACCAGAGTCCCTAACAGTGAGCCCAGCTCCTTTTTCAGCCCTGTGAGGCACTGGGGGCAGCGCCTGCACTCCATATCCACATACCTTCCCTCCCAGGCTGACGTTGGCGCCAGTGGTGAAATTTCATTCCAAATGGAATAGTTCTATGAGGGTACCAGGGGGAGATTAGAGTGACATTTGTGGGCATTGACATGGAGGCAGGGTAGTGACACGAACCATAGTGTACAGCGCTGTGGCTCTGCACATACATTTTGAGCATATAACTCGTCTCTCAACAGTATATGTGTAAGCTATGAGGGAGGTTTTGAGAATAGCCTGAAGGGAGAAGGAAATTTAAATATAAGCATGTGTGGTTCTTGGTCAGCAGATGCTCTGAAAGGGGTAAATGGATGTGGTTACTGCCTTAGTAGCTGTTCTAGTGCTGGGAAGAGACACCATGACCACTGCTTCTCTAATAATGGAAATCATTTAATTGGGGGCTGGCTTATAGTTGCTTAGTCTATTATCATCATGGTAGGGAACATGGCGGTGGTCATGGTACTGGAGAAGCAGCTGAGAGCTACATCCTAATCTGAGGATAGAGATAGAGATAGGGACAGAGACAGAGACAGAGACAGAGACAGAGATATATAGGGAGGGAGGGAGAGAGAGAGAGGCTGAATGAGAGAGAGAGAGAGAGAAAGAGAGAGAGAGAGAGACTGAGCCTAGCATGGGCTTTTTTAAACTTTAAAGCTCACCCCAGTGAGGTATTTCTGCCAGCAAGGCCACACCTCCTAATCCTTTTAATCCTATCAAGGAGTTCTACTTCTTGGTTACTAAGCATTCAAATATATGAGCCTATGGAGGCCATTCTTATTCAAACCACCACAGTTTGAATAAATAATAAATCAGAATAAATAAATAAATAAAACAGTAATAAATCAGAAGCATTTATTACTTATTAATCACCAATGGGCAGGCACAATCCAGTAGTTTCCCAGGAACAGTTTTAGTTTTTTGTTGTTTGGATAAGCATTGCAGATGGAAAGAGATCCTGGCACTCGGGAGCCACAGAATACTGTGTGTTATATCTCGAATGGGAAAATATTCTGGCAGTTGGGAGCGAAGGAATACCACAGGTCACAGTAAGCATAGCAGCTTGCAGCCCTGCTCCAGGTAAAGGCTTCCCCAGTTTAACAGCTCTGCTCTGTCAGGGGAGGGTTCCTGGGTGAAGTTGTTACAGTTTGGATCAGGTCCCTCAGAGAGTAACAACACAGCTTTCTCCAGTCAGCTGGCTGCTCAGCTCTGGAGTGGCTGCCTCTGCCAGGGTGGAAGAAGACAGGCTGAGAGCCACAAGTTGGACAGGCATAGAGTTTATATAGGGATTCTTAGGAGGCAGAGTTTTATAGGGATTGGTCAGATTTCAGTCCCTGAGTTCAGATTGGCTAGGTCTCATGCTCAGGGATTGGTTGGTTTTCTGCCCAGGTTCAGGGTCAGATTTAGCTCTGGTTTCAGGGACAAAGTATGTTTCTTTGACTTGTCCTTTTTAGCTTTTTTGGCTCTAATTTTAGGGCCAGAGTGTATTTCTTTCACTGGCTCTGATTCCAGGGACAAAGTGTGTTTCTTTAGTACTGGTCTCAGGGTCAGGATGCATTCCTTTGGTTCTGGTTGCAGGGCCAAAGTGTGTTTCTTTGACTGTGCTCAGGGTTGTGTTTCTTTGGCTGGCCCCCTTTCTCTGTGGCTTTGGAGCCTGTCCTGGAACTTGCTTTGTAGACCAGGCTGGCCTCAAACTCACAGAGATCTGCCTGCCTCTGCCTCCCAAGTGCTGGGATTAAAGGCATTCACCACCATCGCCTGGCCAGATTTACCTTTTTTTGTTTGTTTGTTTTGTTTTGTTTTGTTTTGAGACAGGGTTTCTCTATAGCTTTGAAGGCTGTCCTGAAATTAGCTCTGTAGACCAGGCTGGCCTTGAACTCACAGAGATCTGCTTGTCTCTGCCTCCTGAGTGCTGGGACCAGATTTACTTTTTAAAAGGAATAGAACTGTACATTAAATCTCGGTAGCTGGCGTGAGGTACACACCTTTAATCCCAGCA